GACATCGACTTCGACGCCACCGGTAATGAAAGGTTGTACTCGTCCGCCCCTTCTGTGTGTTTTTTGTGTTTTGTTTGCTCCATGTGTTATGGAGCCTGAACTGTGTTGGTTGTGTGTTTGTACTTGATTCGGGCCTAATTGTACACTATTTATCCCCGATTCTCTATGACTTTTGTTGCAATTGAACTCCAAAAAGGTTGGTTTTACACAAGGTTGTTTGTGTTTCTGTGTCTTTCGAATCCTAACAGGTAAAACCAAACCCTGAGTCAAAGTTGGAAGAAAAGGAGCAAAGACCGGGCAAAGATGTGGAGACAGCCAATGTTCATGGCCCGGCATTGGATTTTATGGTCTTACAGGGCCGTGAACTAGAGCCAAAACTCGTGAAGCAAGGAGCGTCCAGAGAGGGTTTTCAGGTTACTGATGCGCACGCTATTCACGGGCGCTAAAACCGTGAATAGAGGCCTCTGACCGTGAACCTGAGCCAATGAAGTGGTGCTTTTTGGTCTCAACACTTAGTTCACGGACGCGTTTCAATGTTCACGGCCGTGAACCCAGGCCGTGAACTGGGCGCGATCTCAACTTAAAAGGCCAGCTGAAATAAAGAACAGGGGAGAGACCTGGTGTGAGAAACTTCTCCTTCTTTAGATTTTAGAGTGAGAAAGTGACGAAAAAAAGAAAAAGAAAATCTAGGGTTTCATCTCCAAGCAAGGTTTTGGGAATTCCTACCCCAAAGGAGGATTTCTTCAGCACAAGGAATAAGGCTTGCATCTTCTTGATGGTTTTCCATTTCCTCTCTTGTGTTTTCCCTTCTCCTATCATGGAGTACTCCCTTCTTTCACTTGGGTGTTTGTAAACCCTAGCTACAATTATGTGAATGCTTGTGTGAATTGAATGATGTGTGTGTGGTTGTGTTTTAATGTGAATGTGGAGGTATTATTCAGAAATGATTGTGTTGTGTGAAAGCCTATCAATTTAATTGTCATTCTAACCTAGCTTAGAGAGGAGACCTCCTTAGGTTAAGAGGCACAATATTGAGATGGGTGTTCTTGGGAATTTCATGCCTCCTAAGCTAGTTTAGAGAGGAAACCTCCATAGGATAAGAGGCTCAATTTGAGATGGGTGTTCTTGGGCATTTAATGCCTCATACGCTAGTTTAGAGAGGAAACCTCCTTTATCCAAAGAGGCTCAATTTGAGCTGGGTTTCCTAGGGCATTCAATGCCTCCTAACTAGTTTAGAGAAACCCCTCCTTAACCTAAGAGGCTCTATTAGTGATGGGTTTCCTTGGGCATTCAATGCCTCCTAAGCTAGTTTAGAAAGAACCCTCATTAACCTAAGAGGCTCTATTAGGGATGGGTTTCCTTGGGCATTTTATGCCTCCTATTCTAGGTTAGTTAAAGGGCAAACCTCCTATTTCGCATTAGCACTTAGGGTTTGGTTGTGGATGGCCGTCTGAACTCCAATTCGAGGGTGAAGTCTAACCATTCCTTAGTCGATAGGTTGAGAGGGTCACATTAGTGGCTTGGATCGTATCCCATTCCTCAACCTAGAGGCTAAGAGGGTAGCTTTGACAACTTGTTAGACTTCCCTGCAGTTTATGACCCCCTAACCACACACGGTCGTTCGATTCTTCAAGTCGTAATAATTAGCTAGGGAGAGCAACATCTGGGTGAAGCTTTCTCAGCTAGTGTTAAATCCATTTTACCTTTGCAAAGTATATTAGTTTTAGACCTTTGTTTTCACCAAAACTAATCCGCTAGATAATGTTTCAAACAGTCGAAGTAGCGGTACATGGACCGGCCCGGGTCAATATTTAAACATACTTTTCCTATATTGCACCCATCTAAGGTTTTTACTTGGACCTTAGGTGGGATTTAATTGTGATAGTCAGAGCGAGTCAAGTTTTTGGCGCCGTTGCTGGGGAATAACGGTCCGTGATCGTGAAAAGTTTGTTTGGTGTTAATCTAAATTTTAATTTATGTTTGATAAGTTGTGAAGTGTTTGCTTGTGCTAGACGTGTTGTGTTCTTTAAGTGTGTGTAGGGAGGTGCATGACCCAGAGCAATCTGGCGCCTTTAACACCATTGGACGAGGACATCAACCGGACTCTTCGACTTCTATCTCGAGAAAGGAACCAAGCAGAGGCAAAAAGGAGCTGTGAGGAAAGGAGACAACAAGTTGTTCCCGAAGTTGAAGGAAATGACGAGAAGTTGAAGTTGAGATGGTGGGGAATCAACATCGAGTTGTTCATCCGCTTCCAAACCCAAATGTGGAAGCGGGATCCGTGGAAGAGCCAAGGACTATGGGCTATTACATGGCTCCACGAGCAGCGGATATCCCATCTCCCATCTTACATCCACCCGTGGCCACCAGCAACTTTGAAATCAAGCCCGCTCTTGTGACGATGATTCAACAAAATGTCTTATTCCACGGGCTTGCCCATGAATCACCACGAGAGCATGTCCAAAGGTTTCTTGAGCTAGCGGGAAGCTTAAAGATAAATGGCATCCCCGAGGAGGCATTGCAAATGATGCTTTTCCCTTATTCTTTGGCGGGAAAAGCTCTCTGATGTCTCAACAACCGTCTGGCTCGATCATCACCTCTTGGGACGATCTGCTCAACAAGTTCATAACCTGTTATTTTCCTCCTTCCAAGATGTCCGAGTGGAGGAAAAAGATCACTCACTTTGAGCAAGAGGAGGATGAGACATTGAGGAATGCATGGGAAAGGTTCTCCAACTACTTTGTTCAATGTCCTCATCATGGATTCGAGGAGCAATTTCAAATAGAAACTTTCTATGGAGGACTCGTCCAAGATGATAAGATCCTCATCGACTCTCTTTGCCAAGGGAAGTTGATGAACATGACCCCTCCTCAAGTGAGCGAGTTGCTAGAAGATATGGCCCTCAAGGGAAATGATTGGGACTTGACAAGAAGTGGGAAGAGAAGCACTGAAAGAGGAGTGCAAAGTGTGGGAGCAAGTGCTCCACTTAAAGTAAAGCTGGATAAGTTGATCGAGGTGATCCTTGAGGACAAGAAGCAAGGAAAGAGAGCGGTGATGTCATGTGATTGGTGTTCAAGCACCAATCACAAAATTGCGGATGCCAATCGATGAAGGACACAAGTACCCCCGAGGAGCAAGTGAGCTACATTGCCAATGCTAGAGGGAACAACCCTTATAGCAACACCTACAACCCCAGGTGGCGCAATCATTCGAACTTTGCATGGTCTTCTGATAACATCGGATTTGCACTTGTTTGCACCCTCGTTTCTTGATCATTTTGGCTTGAGTTTCTGCTTTCTTGGACTATTTTACGCTAGGTTGTGTTCCTTTGTCACATTTCAGGTCCTAGCATGTGAATCGAAGCATAGGCGCAAGTTTCAAGTCAATCGGAGATCATTTGGCAATTCGGGAGAAGAAACACGAGCATGACCTGAGGAATAATGGACTTCTACCTCATATTATGGACAAATAATCATGGAATTTTGTCATGAAAAGAAAGAGGACGAGACTACGAGCGTCTGGGATCAAACGGCGACTGATTCGGAGTCAGGACGAGGGAGAAACGAAGCATTAAACAGAGGCTGAGCAAGCCACACGGGCACACCTAAAAACCCACACGGCCGTGTGACCTGGACATGTGGCCGTGTGGGATTTACCGAGCACTCACACGGGCATCCTGGGGAGGCACACGACCGTGTGTCCCCTGCCCGTGTAGCTTGCCTGGTTGCCCATTAATCGAAACTCCGCGTTTTGGCACTCACACGGGCAGCTGGGTAAGCCACACGGCCGTGTGGCCTGGCCGTGTGAGTCGGAAATCTCTGGTTTTAAGCCAAATTTCGAGTCAAAGGAGAGGGAGAGCTGGGTTTTGGTTCCCGAACACCCAAGGGACGAACCCTAGAGAGAGAGCAACTTGGAAACATTCTTGGAGCTATTTTGGAGGATTTCTTCGCCATTGGAGCTCGGGAATCAAGCTTGGAGATGGAGATTGAAGATCTAGATCAGATTTCTGCAGTCTCTCTCTTCTTTATGGAGTAACTTCCCTTCACTTAGGTTTTGAGGAACCCTAGTTCCATGTGTTAGGATCTTTCTTGTATGAAGTTTTGAATGCTATATTGTTTGATTATAATCGATTGAGGCATGATTTATTGAGTCAATTGAATCTTGATCAAATTCTCTTGATTTCTGCTTTAACCTATGATAGATAGACTCTGATTAGGTTAAGAGAGCTTCCTTGATTGATAGTGGTGAATTGGTTATGCGAGAGTCAATCAATTCGCTGCTTTGTACTGGAATTCATTCCAGTAGAGGAGATCTGTGTGAATCGCCTTAGCAATCTATCCCGGTGAAGGCTAGTCGCTTGCCGGGTATTCTGTCTGAGAGGGCTTGGTCAGCTTAAGAGATTCCAAGCTAATTTAGGATCTTCCGCAGTTCAATCAACAGTAGATCAACCAAAGGTAATTGCAACTTGGACCTAATTGAAGAGCTAGGGGGAATCATACCTAAGTGAGTTCCCAACTTGTAATTAGTAGAGTACTTAGTAGAGTAGTTTAGTAAATCAATCCTTAATCTAGTTTGCTAGATAATGAACTGAAGCTGATTAATAATAACTCTAGAGACCCGTGGATTCGATATTTATTACTTGTGCCACTATACTGCAGTCCCTTTCATTGGTTACACTTGGCCATTGTTAGGTTTTATGTTTTGGAGTGTCAAGTTTTTGGCGCCGTTGCCGGGGACTTTCTAGATTATTAGGAAAGGCAGAAGTTTGTTACTTTAGCGTTTTTCTTTTCTTTTCCACCCTTGCTTTTCACTTGGGTGTTTTCGTTTTTGTTGGTGCAGATCTGAATCATCGATCCTCATGGCTTCTCCAACCATTGGGGTATCCACCACCATCCGAGTAGTATTACCTCGAGACTCCCTACAACAATCAAGGAGGAGAAGACTATGGATTCGGGTTCCATTACCAACCCCCTTACTACGGAAAACAATCAGACCCCTGGGCATATCAAGAACAACCTCATTACCAAGAAGAATTTCTCCCACAACCAGAAGAGCCATCAGAGCTGGAGTTAGCCATGGAGGCCTTCACGGGCCACTATGCAGAGCCATGCTACACTTCACTGGAAGATCCGAACAAACAATTAAGGCTTCTCGTGGAGCAGTTTGCTCGAGACACTGAGAGATCATGCTCCAAGATGGATCTTCAAATCAAAGCCCTTGCCCCTTCCGATCCCTCATTTCTCCATGAAATGGAGGAGACTGTTCAGCGCTCAGCGAAGCAAACAGAGTGGGTGGAGCAAGTTTGCTCACATCTTGCTCAAGATCACCTTTCTGCTACCACGCTAAAAGAGGTGGAGGATGACAAAGGCTACGGGGATGTTGAGGAGCATACAGAAGTTATCACAGAGAACTCCCATGATAATCATGATCAGGAAAGTCCTCTGGTTGCAGATCACACATTTCCTTATTTCTGCTCTAACATGCTAGGCCCGAGCGAGGAGATGCAAGATGATCTCATTGAAGAAATTACATGGCGACTTGGTCTCCAATCTGTGCTAGAAGAAGAAGAGAAAGAAAGGGTGCATAAAGAAGTTGTGGAGGATGACGAAAGTGAAGCAGAAAGAGTTCTTGATCATTTCCCAGGGGTGATACCACATGAAGAAGAAAAGGAGGTTGAAAAAGCAATTGGCGTCCAGGCTGAGACGGAGTTAAGGTGGAAGAGGCCTGCACCGGCCAAGAGTTACATGAGATATCTCCACCAAACTTCGAGGAACTACTTAGCAAGGACCCATTTGCACTGTCTCTTTGCCAGACCAAGGCCACATCAACATCGGTCCCTCTTGGTGGACGCGATGGTGGCCAATCGATGCTGTCATATCTAATTTGGGGCAAAGGGACGAGAGAAGAGAAGAAGAGGTCTCGAGGATGGAGACTTCATCTGCATCAAGTGCACGAGTTTCCATCACCAGTCATACCACATGCTCGTGACTTGCGACTCCACCTCATTGACGAGAACCTCAACTTTAAGGAGGTTCTAGCATGGACCGAAACTTAGGAGCCATCGTCCGGCTCACGACGTGAAAGAAGCGCTTATTGGGAGGCAACCCAACCAGTCAGTTTGCATTTCTTTCTCTATTTCTCCTCGGTTGAGTCAGTTTTGTTATTTGATTTTAGAGTCAATAACTCAACCTTTGTGAGATTTTGTGTGGTGTTTGTGTTCTGATTACTCTCTCTTTCTGGAATGCACCGCCTGACCCGTCCATCATCATTCACCCTTGATCTGGTAACTTCGTTCTACCCTCCTTATCTTTCCTCCATTGAGGACAATGTCGTGCTTAAGTGTGGGGGGTGTTTGATTATGTATGCGGGTGAATGTTTGGTTGTTTGTGTGCTTGGAGCCTAGCCATGTGAGATTTGAGCCTGCTCGTTTCTTTCTTGTGCGATAGTTCCCTCTTCCATGATGTGTAGCATTCACGTTGTCATTGGGCTAAGATGATGGAGGCATAGGATTAGCCCACGACCAAATTGATTGTCCTAGTGTGTCATACCCCCTAGTCAGCCCCTTTGAGCCGTGTGTTATCCTTTCTTTCGGTTTATAATGGAAAATCACCCTTTTGCATCTCTTAGAAGGTTCCACGGAGTGGTTTTTGCATGTTCTCTGCTGTTTCTGCTAAAAATAATGTGAGGGTTGGAGGTAGTTCTTAAAAAAGTTGGACATGTGTTTGAAAAATGTGCATAGGTGGTGGTTCTCTCAAGAAATGAAAAAAATAAAGAAAAACAAAGAAAGCAAAAGAAAAAAAAATGAAAGCAAAAGAGAGCCACTACCAAAAATCTGAATAGTGCCCATTAAGTAGTGTTTCTTAGCAGTCTGGCTTAGAAATGCTGACATTTATATAACCTCCTCACTCATGCCCGCCTCTTCAAAGCTCAGTGTGGGCTGTGGGAAGGTGTGGTCGGCTACGACAGGACATTCCTTATCATGATCGTCACGAGAGCTCTCTGTGACAACTTCAGTGTGCTCCACAATGTCCTTGTAGCCTTCTTCTTCCTCCTCCTCTTCTAGTATGGTAGCAGAAGGGTGATCTTCAGCAGGTTGTGCACAAGCTCGCTCAAGATCATCGACGCTCTTCTTAAGGCTCAGGAGGGTCTCCTCTATTTCACGATAGGCCTGGATACAATGATCCATCCTGGAGCATGATCTCTCGCTGTCTCGAGCAAACTGATCCATGAGAAGCCTCAATTCATAGTTTGGATCTGGTGTGGAGTGTAGCATGGCTCTGCAGAATGGCCTGTGAAGGCCGCCATGGGTAACTCCAGCTCCGATGGCCCTTCTGGTTGTGGGAGAAATTCTTCTTGATAAGGAGGTTGTTCTTGATATGCCCAGGGGTCTGATTGTTCTCCGTAGTAAGGGGGTTGGTACTGGAACCCGAATCCATAGTTTTCTCCTCCTTGATTGCTCCAGGGAGTCTCGGGGTAATACCACTCGGATGGTGGTGGATACCCCCAATGGTTGGAGAAGCCATGCGGATCCATAATTCAGATCTGCACCAACAAAAACCAAAACACCCAAGTGAAAAGCAAGGGTGGAAAAGAAAAGAAAAATGCTAAAGTAACAAACTTCTGCCTTTCCTAATACTCTAGAAAGTCCCCGGCAACGGCGCTAAAAACTTGACACGCTACGACACAACTCCTAACAATGGCCAAGTGTAACCAATGGAAGGGACCGCAGTATAGTGGCTCAAGTAATAAATATCGAATCCACGGGTCTCTAGAGTTACTATTACTCAGCTTCAGTTCATTATCTACAAACCAGATTAAGATGAAAGAACTAAAACTACTCTAGCAAACTACAGTTAAAGTTAATCTAATTACAGGTTGGGAACTCACTTAGTTATGATTCCCCCTAGCCACTAGCCAGATTAATGATTGATGATCTCTAACCTGTTTCACTTTCATTCACAATGCGGAGAATCCTTAACTAGACCTTGAGTCTCGACTAAAGGAACAAGGCCCTCTTGAGTCAATTGCATAGAGGAACGTATCCTTCTCTAGAACAACCGATCAAGGCGTTCTGAACTAGACTCCCTCTATCGAAAGAGGTTCTCAATCGATGCAAAGCAGTGGATCAACCCTCGACTAAAGCAATCGATCCACTACTATCAATCTATGGTGCTCTATTGACCTAATCAGGTATTCGCTCTCATAGGATCAAAGAAAAATCAATAATCTTGACTAAAGCATAATTGAATCATGAAAACATGCATAGATTTAATATGAACTCAAGATTATCAAGTAGGAGTACTCATACAATCATCCAATCAAACAAACATAGCTAGGGTTCCTCAAAACCTAAGTGAAGGGAAGTTACTCCATAGAGAAGAGAGAGACTGCAGTAAGAATCTTCAGATGATTAGTCTTCAAGTCCGGGCTTGTTCCTCGAGCTTTCAAGGCGAAGAAATCCTCCAATTCCACTCTTAGAATGCCCTCAAATCGCCCTCTCTCTCTTTGGTTCGTCCCTTGGGTGTTTGGGATCTAAAACCCAACTCTCCCTTTGCAAAAACGCATAAAACAGGCTTTTAACAGCCTGCATTCGCGATCCCCGGTCATAATACCCGGTCGGGTATTTTAGGCGGCGACCGGGTATCTTCAAAACGGAACGTCTGAACACAGGGGAAAATCCCCGGTCAAGGCCAAGAATCCCCTACCGGGGATTTTAGCGTCATGACAGGGCCCCCTTCTGTTTCTCAAAGACGCCCGAAACCAATTTTTCCCGGTCTGCTCCAAATAATACCCGGTCGGGTATTTTCGCCCATGGCCGGGTATTTTGTAGTTCCGGGTCCCCTATCTTTGATTCTTCGTTTCTCCCTCGCTCGGACTCCAAATCAGGTGTCGTTTGATCCCAGACGCTCGTAGTCTCGTCCTCTTTCTTCTCATGACAAGATTACATGATTATATGGTCACAAACTGAGGTAGAAATCCATTCTTCTTCAAGCCATACCCGATTTTCTTCCCCCGAGTCGCCAATTGATCTCCGATTGACTTGAAACTTGCGCCTACGCTTCACTTTATGTGCTAGGACCTGAAATGTGACAAAGGAATACAACCTAGCGTAAAATAGGCCAAAGAAGCGATAATGCAAGCTTAAACGATCAAGAAACAAAAGGGAAAACATGTGCAAATATCGAGTCATCACCCTCCCCTCACTTCCTCCTACATCCTGCTTGAGTCTCCATGTTGGTTTTCAGCTCTACCTTATTTAATTTGGGAAAATCGGATTAGGTAGTGAAGTGAGGAGAATTTTAGTAAATTGAATGTTGAACTTAGCGTTAGGGCAAGGAATTAGGTGAATTAGGGTGATTGAATGATGTTTCTTGAGCTTAGTTGAGCCTTGGTGGACATGTTTTGATTCAAATTGCTTTTATTTGTGAAATTTGCCTTGAGACCCAGGTCGTGGGAGTGACTACCTGACTCGACCGGCAGACCAACCTACTTGAGCAGATGGCTCGTCACCAAGGCCTCCTCCCATATGAGGATGAAGGACCTTCGACTCGAGAGAGGTAGCCGACGAGGGAGATATGTGACAGAGCCGATTCCTTTTGCCCCACTACTCCACTTGGAACTCTGGACTCTTTTGTTTTATTTTTCATTCTTTTATTTTGTGTGTGTGTGTGTGTGATCATAAACTACTACTATCGTATTGTGATGTGTAATACCCTCGCTTCGAGCGAGTCGTGTTGTGTTTGGGTATGTATTTTTTTTCTTCTCCTTGAAGATTCAATCTCCTACCCCGGAAACAATTCAAACTTTCACTCGCCAAGCAAGCGGTAACATCGTTCTGCCCCTATCTTACGCCAATGAGGGCAATGTAGAACTTAAGTATGGGGGGGTAGTTTATTCTTATGCTTGTGTGAGTGTGATTGATGGTGCTTGGGCCTTGATGTATGCCCAAATTTGAAAAATTTTAGGGCTCCAAGCAATGTTTGCATGATCAAAGTGGTCGGTTTGTAGGAGAATCTCGTGTTTATTGGCATTGACCTTGAATTTTTGCATGTGATCGAGTGTGTCCTATGATGATGACTGAGAGGTGCATTAGGATAGTGAAAAATTTTAGTTCTCATGTGTGCAAAAATGAATGGATGTCTTCACTCGATTACTTGATTACAATTGCCATGCATTGTGTTTTGTGAAAGTGGAATGAATGATTGGGAGACTAGGTAGCCATGGAGTTTTGAGCCGATTGTTTTCTTCTTGTGTGCTTAGATCCCTCTTACCATGGCGAGTAACATCACAGTTATCACTAGTGAGTATGATGAAGGCATAGGATTAGTCCACGCCCAAATGTTGATTGTCCCGAAATATTTTATTCCCTAGTCAACCCCTTTGAGCCTTGTGACTTTGGGGGTCGTTCTTATGATAGGAGCTTTTTGCTTGCGAGCTTAATGGTGGTTGATAGAACGACCCCTCATCCTTTCTTTGTGTCTATATGTGTGTTGTCCTGGTGTCCCAGAGCTCTCGCTTTTGAGTTCCATTGAGGTTCTACATAGGAGGATTATGTGTGGTTCTTGCTAGGAATGAAAGAGAAAAGAGTAGTGTTGGAGTGAGTTCTTAAAGGAGAGCAAAAAGTAGTGTGGCAAGTGTTTAACTCTTTATTACCTCCCTCAAAAAGAAAAGAAAAAGAAAGAAAAGGAAAGTAGAAACGAAAAATAGGTAATAAAACGGGGTCAATAAAGTAGAAAGTGCCACAAAAGATTCTAAGAGTATGCTCTAAGTGGGGTTTCTTGGCACTCAAGTCATTGAAACCCCCACATTGTTTTAGAACTCCTTCACTACCAAAGTCGAAATGTGATAGCAAGAGTAGACCGAGGAAGAGTGCTTAAAGGTAGTTCATGATGGGTAATAGGTTAGGAGGGAGAAGCAAGGTTTTTGGCTAATGCTAGTGGCCATTGTTTGTAGGGAAGGTTCTTAGTCAAAACCATAGACCCTTCGGGTTTAGGGTGAAGATGTAGGACCTCATGATGTGTTTGACACCACCCAAAAAGCCTTTTCCCCATGTCCAAGACAATTGCCAGTTATTTGAACCTATGTCTAAGACCTCTGGACAAGCTAGTGATGACAATCGTCCCATGAACTCTAACATTTAGAAGTTGTCGTTATGGTAAAGAGACGATAGGGCCGAGTGAGTGATGATTATGCACATTCTTTGCACCAAAAAGGTTCCAACCCCACTGGTCAAGAGAGTGAGTGATTCATTCTTGCTTTGCATGTCATATCATACCCCGATGAGGACTTTTGTTGCCCATTCGTTTATTCCTTGGACTTGAATGTTATGATTGGTTGGTTGTGGTTGATAAGTGATTTTGTTGAGACTTTCATTGCTTCATGAACAAGGTGAGAACTTTTTGTTTGCCTGTTTTGGTGACCTCGAATGTCGTTTGTCGTGGATGTCGATATTGCTTGCAACGGTCCATGAGTTAATTGCCAACAGCCATTGAGATTCGCCACTTTGTGCCCTTTGATTTGTCCCCAAAGCATTTTGTTAGGTTGAGAGATTGCCTTGTGTGAAATGGTTTGCTTGGGGACAAGCAAACGTCTAAGTGTGGGGGAGTGATTGGGGCCCAATTGTACACTTTTTATCCCCGCTTCTCTTTGACGTTTGTTGCAATTGATCTCCAAAAAGGTTGGTGACACGCACGAAACTACACCGCGAATTAATCCCGACTAGAGCCCAAGTTTTTAAACTCTAGCCCGGTGCAGTATAGAGAAAGTATATAAAGTGTCAACCCGGGTCGGTCCATGCACCCCTACTTCAATCTCTTAAGTTGTTATCTAGCAAAACGGTTTTGGGTTTTCAAACTAAGAAAACTACAAACTAAACAAGCAAAGAAAAGTAAGTAAAGGAAAACTCTAAACTAAGGGAGCTTCACCCAAGAGTTGCTTACCCCTAACTAGCTACCATGACTCGTTGGATTGAATGGAGTCGTGTGGCGTAGGTGGTTGTGAACCGCGAGGGTGAGCAACTAGTGATCGATTTGTCACGGAATCAAATCACTAGCGATCGATTTTTCATGGGATCGATACGGAATCGATCCTCTTACTCAGTCTCTAGGGGTTGCCTAGGTCTCTCCCTCAAACCGGAGTTTGAGCGGCTTAATCACAACCAACCTAGATGCCAACTTGAGTCAAGGGGGATGTTCATCTCTAACCTAGATAGTAGGCGCAAAGTGCCCAGGAAAACCAAGCTTGTCAAGCCTACCTAAAAAGGTGTGGTTTTCCTCTAATCTAGGTTAGGCAAGCACACAAGATTTGGAAAGCACAACTAAGCACAATCACCATGAAAACGCCTCTAATACTCAAATTGATGCAAACCCATTCAAAATCATTCAATCTAAACAAGTAATTACAAAGTATTAGTTAGCGATCTACAACACCCAAGAGAAAAGAGTGAGTTCTAGAGAGAGAAGAGAGGGATTACAAATTTGAGCTCAATATCTTCTTCTTCTTCTTCTTGGCTTGAATCCTCCACCCAAGCCTCCAACGATGCTCCAAGATCACTGTAGCACTCTCTCTCTCTCTCTCTCACTAGAACTCCTCGTTGGTGTTTTAGGGCAAACCCTAGAGAGGAATTGAATTTCTCTCCAAAAACCAGCTCACTTTCTCTCTCCTTGCTGTTGTCTTCATATTTACCCGAAAGTGACCGGTTCACGGACGTGTTGGCCAGCGCACGGCCTGAAAACCTAAAAGCTTTTGTGAACTCAGTGTCGTCCAAAATGCGCCGCTTCACTCTCATGGGTTCACGGTCAATGGCCCCAGTTCACGGTCTTAGAGACCGTGAACTGCCTTGTCGTTAGTAACTTCTGGAACATCGCTGGAAGCCTCGGTGTTCACGGTTTGTGGTCCATGTTCACGGTCTTAGGAGACCATGAACTCCCTTGTACGACCGTGAACTATGGCTGTTTCTTGGACGCCTTCACTTCACTGTTACGGGGCAATTGACACGGTCTCGGTCTTTTCTTTGGTTTTTGCGCTTTTTGACCTCCAATTATCACAAAACTTGTCCTCGATCCTTCCACACGTGCTAGGACCTGAAATGTATCAAAACAAGCACAACCTAGCATGAAATATATCGAGGAACGATTAAATACTAAGCTAAATGAATAAGAAATGCGGGGTAACATGTGTACATTTGGGCCCGGATCACTCCCCCACACTTAGACGTTTGCTTGTCCCCAAGCAAACCATTCTCAACCTAGGTAACATTTCAACCTACAAAAATAGCTAGGAACATTTGAAAAGGCAAAAGGCAGTGAATCTCAAATGACTATTTGGGCATCGACACTCGAACCGTCTCAAACAATTTTGGCATCCACCACAAATGACATTCAATTGCATAATAATGGGCAAATGAAAAGTTATCATTCTATCCACAATCAATGCAAGTCTCAACCGGGCCACTAATCAATCACAACCGACCATGCATAGAACTCAAGTCAACGGAACAGACAACAGGGCAACATAGGTCCTCACAGGGATAGATATGAACATGCAAGAACAAGAATGAATCGCTCACTCTCGACCAGTGGGGTCGGGACCTTTTTGGTGCAAAAGATGTGCACAATCATCACCACTCATCCCTACCATCTCACCACCACGGCGGAAACCCCTAAACGCTAGAGTTCACGGGATAGTTGTTGTCTAGCTCGTCCGGAGGTCTTAGAAACAGGTTCAAATGACTGGCAATTGTCTTGGACATGGGGAAAAGGGTTTTTGGGTGGTGGCAAACATAACATGAGGTTCTACATCTTCAACCTAAACCCGAAGGTTCTATGGTTTCGACTAAGAACCTTCTCTACATACAAAGGCCACTAGCATCGGCCAAAAGCCTTCGTTCTCCCTTCCAAACGATCACCCACCATTAACTACATTTAAGCGCTCTTTCTCGGTCTTCTTTTGCTATCACCTTTCGATTTGGTAGTGAATGAGTTCTAAAATAATGTGGGGATCTCAATGGCTTGAGTTCCAAGAAACCCCTCCTAGAGCATACACTTCGGTTTTTCGTGGCACTCTCTACTTTATTTACCCCATTTTATTACCTCTTTTTCTATTCCTTTTTCTTTTCTCTTTTTTTCTTTTTTCTTTTTTCTTTTTTCTTTTTTGTTTTTGAGGGGGGTACTGGAGAGTAAAACACTTGCCACCTATACATTTAAATGACCAATTCTCTCTTTTTAATAACTCACTCCCACACTACACTTCATTTTTCATTCCTAGGAAGAACCGCACATAATCCTCCTATGTAGAACCTCAATGAAACTCAAAAGTGAGA